ACTTATTTTCTTAATGATTAACCGACAACGTATCAAAATTGCACCGATGTAATACTATCGATTCTTATATCGGTTCTTCTAAAAACTTCTAGAATGGAATCAACATGGGATTAATGGATCGAGAGGGGGTGGGTGGGGTGGAATAAGCTGAAGAAAGGAGTGGGGTGAGCAGGGCTAAAGAAGAGGAAGAAACATATCGGGGGGGGGGGGGGGGGGGGGGCTTGGCTAAAGAAGACGAGGGTTGGGGGGAAGGGGAGGGGAGTGGTGGGGCGAGATGAAGAACCGATATATGAAAAGTCCACGGAAATCTTTAGTGAGGAGAAGAGACAATTGTAGAGAATTAATGTACCAAGAATGAGTTAAAAATTCACGAGGATCAATGATTTTAGAAGTCAATAAGAATGAACAGAAATTTGAATACGCCTACAATTTTGTAAACTTTTAAAAGTTTACATTGAATACACCTAGTTGTAGACTTTTAAAGGTCCACATTGAATAAACCTAAGGTTTTAAAATTGGACTTCTAAAATTTTGCCACTACTTCCAAATACAATACACCTCATAAATGTGCGAACTAAGGTTGTTTTTACTTGGACTGTAATTTGTCCCAGATCAGACCAGACCAGACCAGACCAGACCAAAACAGACCAGACCAAAACAGACCAGACCAGACCATATTTTATTATTATTATTATTATTATTATTATTGTTGTTGTTGTTATTGTTATTGTTATTAGTAGTATTATTACTATTACTACTATTATTATTACTATTACTATTATTATTATTATTACTATTACTATTATTATTATTATTATTAGTATTAGTATTATTATTATTTTTATTAGTGTTATCATTAGTAGTAGTAGTATTACTATTATTACTATTAATACTATTATTACTATTATTATTATTATTATAACTAGTAGTAGTGTTATTGTTGTTATTATTAATACACTTACTATTTTATTATTGTTTGGTTTAGTCTGTTCGTATTTTAAGTCATACAAGTGACAGAATAATATAGATGATCTTGATTTGTAAAAAACAAAGGAATAAAAATAAATTAATAAAATCTTGATTTGTAAAAAAATTGTATGAATAATGGGTAAACTATAAATCTTTTTAGAACAAAAAAAGTACTATAAAATAGTAAATATCATCATGCATTCGTTGCTCTGGGTTTCTGAACGTCTTCCCAAATTTGTTTCACAATTTCCACGCGAACATTGTTCATAGCTTCTTTTCGTCCATTGTTGAACATATCCGAATCGACCATGCCTTCTCCATTCCCATCATGTTCATAAATTGACATTCCCATTTTGCCTATGCTGATAAAATTATGAAGTGTAAAAGTAGAGAAAATAATTGCTTGTTGATGCTCTTCTTTCATTTTGGGCATATTGTGAAGTATCTTCCATCTTTTCTTCAGATGCGAAAATGTTCTTTCAATGGTAGTTCTCAGTGATGAGTGACGATAATTAAAATGTTCCATTACTCCTCTTGGTTTACCACCGTCACGAAATTCTGGCACGTGTTTCCTCATTCTCGCATCATCAAATGGAGCTAAATATCCAAGTGTGTTTGGATATCTTGAATCTACTAAGTAATATTTACCTACATTTTTAATTGACTTTGTTAAAAGGATACTATTTTATATTTACAAAAACCTTTAATAATAAATTTATTTGTATTTTATACCTGGTGGGGGTGAGGAAAATGATATTTTGATTACATTAAGGAATCAACCCACACTCTTACATCGTGAGCGCTTCCTTCCCAGCCAATACTGACAAACGTGAATAGTTTATCAAATGAACAACATGCTAAGACATTCCAGGTTTTGACTCCTTTGCGTCCTCGAAACGACATCCCCCTTTGCATCTGATATAACTGCTTCTATGTGAGTACCATCTAATGCTTCAACTGAATCCTAATACAATAAATAAAAAACATAAATAAAGTCTAACACATATACAAAAATAAATTAGTTTTCATTGACTTTTAAAAACGTTGAATAATTCATAAATATACCTTGAAATACGGCCAATAGAAGGAACTGTTGAAAACTATGGTGTGGACGTCCAACAAATTGTGATGTGGTCGAATTGTGTCAAAAGATAACTCAACCAAGGCATGCAATACTAGATTGAAATATTTGCATATGGTTCTCAAAGAATGCTTAAAAACATGAGCTGCATCTGTGTAAGAAGCTCCCTTGGCCAATATATAGAGACCAATTCCAATTTGCTCTGCCACATGAATGAACCTGCTGTCTTTCAATAAATTTCTTTCAATCATAATATTCACAAGGTGAATGAACATTTCTCTCGTCAACCTTAATTGCTCTTTACACAATCCAGGATGACCATTCAACATTCTATGTATATATTCACCTCCCGTTTCTCCACCTACTCTCATTGGTATCCTAGTCTTCTTTTGTTCATCATCTTTTAGTAATGATCTCAGCTCTTCTAATGCAATAATTAGACATGACCATCTAACTTCAACATTCATTCTACACAAATAAAATAATGAATTCCAATGCACATTAAAACAAATGGTAAACACATGTTATAACAACGATAACACGATATGTTTGTAAAAGATAACAATCCACATAATTTTAGTTCAAACAAACATATAAAAAGTTCAAAACAAATAGACAAAATTTTAGCATGCTAAAAATAAATAATCTTAAGTTCAAAACGCCATACATCAATCTTCATTGCCGTAAGGAACTCCTTTCTGTAGAAACATCCACCTCTGATTTTCAGATCGAAGTGTCACAAAGACCTCACCCTTATTACCTTCACTTAAGAAGGTCATTGCATCCACATAATATTGATCACCGTATTTCTTGTCAACCTCCATCTCATCAAGAAGTTTAGCCACCTTTTCGATCACAGATTGCTCTTTTACTGAAGCAAGCTTCACAATTTCTAAACATCTATCTATTTCCCCTCGCTTTCGTGCTAAGCTTTCACCGACGTTGTTTTTTCCCTTTCGCTTCTTAGTTGATGCGGATGATTGATCTACCATAATAGGTGAATCACTTTGTTCACCATAAACTGTATCATGACTTTCATTTTCATCCGAACTACCGGTATCAAAAGATTCTTCGGTGTTTATGTTCTGAGTCTTTTCGACCGCGACATTACTATTGAGAATGGATGTTGTCCTAGCACTAGCAGGTGAGCTACCTCGTACACCATGTGCAGTTTGTCCTTGGAATAAAGCTTCTAGGTACTGAAGATATGGCATCTGCTTCTTAGCAACTGTAGCTCCAGTGCAATTTTGAAGGTCGACCCATGCTTTGTATTTATCTTTCAACTCACTAAAGTGATTTCGTGCTTTCTTACAATCAAAAAGAGTACCCGTTTGTACATGAAGGTTGTTAACAATTTTATTCCAATCATATTTAGTATTTCCTTTTGCTTTTTCTTCAGCACAAATCTTCAAAAATGTAGTTGTGGTGGTGTCATTCCAAGGTGTCCTCCTTGACATTGTGTATAATTGATAGTAAAATAATACATAATTATAACTTCATAATTAATTGAAGTGAAGTACTTATATATGATAATATTTTTATTTATATGTCTACACACACACACACACACACACATATATATACACACACACACACACACCAAACAGTAGTACAATACTAATTACTTTTCAAAAACTATTTGACTTTCTGTAAAACATTAACAATTCCTCACATTAAATACGACATTAAATTCAAAGAATTCAACAAAATATTAAATACATATTTTTTGAGAAATATTAAATACAAAGTTAATATACAAGGTTGGATGATTTTAAACCCACGTACCCACGTACTATGACAAATCATATCGAAATTAAGATAAATTGAATACAAATGTCATATTCAGAGAAAAGTGCCTATGGTAACCGTGATACGATGTGCAACGTTGGACATGATCATAATTATGGATTGAAATTTGACCTTTTGCAGAATGAAAAAAACTTGAATTCTTATCTAAAATCAGAAATAGTGCAAGGAAGATTCAGTTGTAATTCTTATTATGTTTTTCTTTCAAAACGCTACATATTAGTGTTTCGAATTGTCTTAATGGGTCTAAATTTAGACAAATATTACATAGATGTACATCGCTTCAAACTGCCATTGAATAAAAAAACTGACCCGTCTCGATTTTTCTAGCATATATTAATTACATCATTGTCTAGGTGTCATCACCGTCGTTTTTAAGCTCGATTGCAGAAGAACTCGTGTTCAGTTCGTTGGTTTTTATAAAGTCGTAGTTAACATAGTATGCTTGAAATCGAGTTTGAGACAAATATAAATGTTCCTTTAAAAAAAGTATTGTATTTCTAGATATACATATACATCTACACGGTCATGCTCCGGTGAGAACAGTTCTTTCGATGAGAAATGAGAACGGCACCAAACGATACACATCCACGTAAATGGTGGTGCACATTTATGATTAAGATAATGCAAAGTTCAATTTTGCAGAAAAAAGTTTAATTTATTTTGAGAAATGCCACTTTCTTTTCTTATTCATGACAATGTAGATTTATGTTTCACACGATGCACAACACTCGAATTTAGTGCATGAGATTCATTCTCATATATCTTCTTAGATCACGTTTTCCCTTGATTTGAATTGTTTATGTGTGTGTCATGACAAGTCATGAGCCAGAGAGAATCGAGTTAGAGTTTGGTTTGATTGCTCAATGAGCCGGCTCAAGTTTGAATTTGACGGAGTCTTAGTTAAGTTTTGATGAAACGCCTCACCAATAACTAGGTATGACTCATTTACATCCTTATTCCAAATTCTCCTGGTGTCTAAAAAGGATCTCCAATATAATCGATTTTATAATAATGTGTTTGATAAGTCAGTGTTAATGTCTTTGTAGACTTACTTCTATAAAAAAAATGCACACTCCCTCCCACAACATTAGATGAAATATTAAAATGAGAAAATTTTCTTTGAATAAGAAAACATACTTGGTCACATTTTAAAACGAATCTATGCATCTGAGTTAATATGACATTCCTTGATCAGCCATGACCAGAACTCGAGCTTCAACCATCATGTCCGACTCAATAACAACATGATTATTGGAGATACTTCTCAAGGCATGCCTAGGGAAGGAATTATCTGCCGGAATAAAGGTGTAATCCACACGTTTAATGAGGTTTGGGAAGAGAAGAGTGGATCTGAGATCCACATCCCAAGTACTTTTATTGCCACTGATACTTCCCCTTCCAATTGTAGATTTAAGCTTCATTCCATGGTCAACGGTATTTCTATCAACCTGCACTTGGTCAACCTGCTTAAATCCCCCATCCAGCTTAACAATATCTGTGTTTTTGTTTGTTCCGCTGAATATGTTGTCCACTACGTTGACCCCGCGGATCACCCCGTTGACGGGCTTGAAGCTGATAAAAGCACCTCCGTAGAAAAAGCAGCCGGAGATATGAAGCTGGACAGGGTCCTCGGCGACTATCCCGGTGTAATCGAAGTAGGAATTCACTATCCTCGTATGGGTTGCTCCGGGGAGGTTCATGTAAACTCCGGTGCCGCCGAATCCGGCGGCCTTATTGTAACAATGCACGCCGGTCAACACGTTTCCTTGGCCGGCGATCTTGATTCCGACGGCGGCCGAGAAAATCACGACGTCCGTCACCGCATTACCGTCTCCCCACAAATCTATCGCCGTCCCGGTGAAATGCCGCTCACCGTGATCGCCGCCGGCGGTGATGTGTTGGCCGAGGAATGAATTTTTTATGTAAGTCTCGCTACCGCCGTCGACTGAAATCCCTTTTGTTGTGAAATGAGTAATGTAACAGTTGTCAACAAAGATCCTGAGTGACTTGACCAGTTGAATGCCTCCTCCCCTGTAGTTGGAATCCAGAAACAGATCTCTTAATGTTATGAAGCCAAAATTGTACTGTAATTTGCCTTTGCCGGATTGCGGATCCGATAAGTCGATTAGATATTGGTTCCCCGGAAAGTTGTTTGACGCCTTCAGTGTTCCTCCGGATATCTATTTTACCAAATATGGAGTATATTTTATATACCATATTAGAGAGAAAAATAAGACTGAAGTTTTCTTATAATATCAGAAACAAAACTAAAGAATAAGAACCTATCAATATAGGTAGGAGAAAAATGTTATTTTGGTACTTGAATTTGTCTTTAATGGGATAAGGAGCACATCAATTTAGTGAATTTACATTAGAATTCATAAAATATTCTAAGGATATTTTCTTTTGGACCGTTTTCAGTCCCAGATCACATCAGATCAGATCAGACTTCTGTAATTATAAAATACACAAAGACAAGACGTTTATTTGACCAGATCGGATCAAACCAAATCAGATCAACAAATTTCAATCCAAAAGAAAACATCTTAACTTAGTTCTATGGAGTGATTATAATACTTTTTTGGGAAAAGGTGTAAATGAGCCCTCGAACTAACCGAAAAAGTGCAAATCACCCCTTTTATATGAGGCTCTATCTGGACGTCGTCATTTGGGACGGTTACCGGTGGAATTTTTTGATAAATTTTTTTGAGCATCTTCTTCATCATGTCTAGTTTACCCATATCGAATTTCAGGTAACAATTCAACCGGGAAGGTAGTCAAATGATTTTCTGAAATTTATTGTGATGTTTAACTGCGCAGTTATCTTCAAACATTTATTTGACTGTCTTCACGATTTAACTTTTAACTAAAATTTGGTATGGGTAAACTAGACTTAATGAAGAAGATGCTCAAAACAATTCATCAAAAAATTCCACCGGAAACCACCTTAAATGGTGACGGTCGGACAAAGCTTTCTATAAAAGGGGTGATTTGCATTTTTTTGGTTAGTTTGAGGCTTATTTGTCCCTATTCCCTACTTTTTTCAATTATATGGAAATAAAAATACTATGTAGCAGAAGTAGTAATTAAACTACTTTCTTTTAAGTAGAGTCCTTCATTTTTCTAAAGAATTGAAGGATAGTAGCTAATAAGGACTTGGATAGTATATACTCTCTAGTTTTTTTTCTTTGCCAAATTAATTTTCTATCACATAATTTCATCAAATATTTTACGGAGTAATAAATAGTGGAATAATTTATAAAGCCCATAAATAAATATACTCTCTCAGTCTCAAATTGTTTTGCAAAGTCAACATTTTTTGTCAACCAATAATAAAAGTCAACTCCCACTATCAATAATTAACTCAATTTTTAATAATTAAAATTTACATATTCCGAAACTACATTAAAATCTCTTCAATGTTACAAACTCCAAACTAGAATATAATTAAAAATTGACATCCTAATTAATCAAATAAAATGAAACTGTTTGACCAAAAAAAGTCAAATTTACAAATCAATTTGGAACGAAGGTAGTATTTAAAAACATGGGATGCCTGAGTGTTGTTGTAGCTACTAGCTAATGAGTAGTGAGATAGTGTTACCACGAGATTTCCTAGTCCGGCGGTCGGGAGCTGAAGCGGGCGGCTGATAAGATAAACCCCGCCATCAAGATCAACCCTTGCGCCGCCGAGATTCTGAATCCCGTCGAAAAGGAATCCACTCGGGGCGGCGGACGTCGCATCTTTTATTGCTCTCAGAATCGCATCTGTGCTATCATTTTTGCCGGCCGGGTCTGCACCGTATGATGTCACGTGATACACCCGTGCGCTTTCTCCACCCTGCACCCGAAATAATTAATTACACAAACAAAAAGAGTTAATTACCCGATAATTGAAGGCAGTTCAATTAAAAAAAAAAATCGGAAATAATCAATTAATTATACATATGATGAGTTTGAAGGAAGTTGATGCTTTTGAAGCACTTTATCCTTCAAACGTTTGATATTGATGCGGTGATGATCATTTCTTCCAAGAACATGATTTACATTGCTGGTGAAGAAAGCAGCAGTTGTTAAGAAAACTATAGAAAGAAGGGGAAAAGGAAGCCCAGAAGTTACACTCATTTTTCCTCAATGGTATCAGATTGATCGATCAAAGGATTACTAAGATTAGCTTGCTTCGGTAATGAGAATTAATCAGTAGCTGATTAATCTAAGCTAGGGAGTTATATTGAGATCAAAAGGGATGGGATGTGAGGAAATAAAGTAAAGTAAAGCTAGCTAGGTACAAAGATGAACCAGAAAAGTAAAAGATTGAAAAACGGTTAGAGTAAAGCAAAATATTCCATACGCATGAGAGAATGTATTAATGATTCATCCCACGTTAAACCTTCAACGCGCATTTGGTCATCGCCCTTGAAAAGCCGTTCTTAGGACGCATTTTCTGAGACTTCATATGATGCTTTAGCCTGGCGGAAGTCAATAAAGTTTGTTTTCCTAAATCATTTTTTGAGAATGATTTAATTTTATAGAGAAGGAATGAACCAACATATATGCAAATGCAAAATGGAGTTTACATACTCATAGCATTATAATCAAAAATCAAGTGACAACAGTTATTTGAATTATGCAATTATGATATAGTAGTGGCTGGTGACATTAAATAAGAACCAATTGATCTGATATCATACACCCCTCAAGATGTAAATTGCTCATTTTTAGATTATCGTACACATAAATTATATATTTGGACCTTCTTAGTTGCTGGTTATAACGTTGTTGTTGTTGTTGTTAAGTGTTGATATTCAACAACACTCAATTGTCTATGCATTTTTCGATCAAAGATAAGTACATGCATCTAATTTTGGACTTCTGAAAGGCGGTTTTATATCATTAGTTACATATCTAAGTTTATGATGTAGATTTTTATCGCCGTGATTATAACTTCTTTGTATTTTATAATTTATGTAAAATTTTCTAGAACCGGACTTCATTATCTTTGTGGTATTATTAGTCGTGTCTGAGAGAATGTGCTTTAATTATGATTCGCCGAACTCCATTGCCATAATTAATACGTAGTATAATATAAGGACCAACATATAAGATATTGTAGAATTGCACAATTAAATTCATTCATATACTATTAAGTTATATATAATTCATTCATATGTTAAATTAAATTCATTCATATGTTAAATTAAATTCCGTGCCAATAAATTTTAAAAATAAAAAACACTCATATAGTAATGTAATGATGTGGTGTAAATATTAGCCCAAATAATTCAGTAATTCCCCTATCAATTTCCTATAGCAGCTCGTAACTCAATTGTTTTGGCTTAAAATGAAACTTAATTATAATAGTCATCTTCATTACGGCTCTTTTTTTATTACATATTATGTCATACTCTCTATTTTATATAGAAAATTAACCTAGGTATGACTAACTCTCTCACTTTCCCGATCATGACCTAACTAATTTTTTCTCCAAAATAATATTTAAATTCCTCCTATTTAATTAATTTATTACTCCCTCCGTCCCCCTAATATGGTACGGAAGGGAGTGGTGTGATTTTTAAGAAAAGTAGAATTATGTGGTTGATAATAAGTTGATAAAGTGGGAATAAAGTAAGAATGAATTAGAGCCACATAACTGTAACCAAATATGGTATGGGACAATAATAGGGGGACATTCAAAATGAAAAAATGGGACAATTATAGAGGGACGGAAGGAGTAATAAATAAATAAAAAATATATTTTATGTACAAATATGCCTTTTAGGCTATATCTATAAAACCATAACCTAACAACGACGGTTACAGAGAATAAATACCCTAACAGCCATATCCCCTCTTTGTAGAGGTTGAGATTTTCCACCATCCCTACTAATATAGGGCCGGAGCGGCAGATTATACTGAATTTAAGTGTTGTAATGCTTGGGATTGCAATTACGTCGGAGGAGATAGTGTTGGCGGATGAACGAGTTGCGGCTGGGAGTTTGTATTGGTGCTGGATCGTGAAGCCTTGGTCAACCACTCCGATGATGGTGGAGTTGGTATTCATCCATATTGTAAGAACTCGTCCTCCTCCGGAACCACATACCACGAAAAGTTTTGTGAAAAGATTTTATTTCAATATTATTTTCTCTTTAGTAGTACTTGTTTATGTTTTAGTCCGAGTAGATTTGGTTTGAATGTTTGGATTTTTTGAGTTCTTTTGATAGGAAGGGTTTCAGATCCGTTCTTTTTAGGCTTAAATTTGCATGTTTCAGGTTTAGCGAGTCAGGTTGCTTTGCATGAGAAGGTTGACTCTGTCTACTTTTAGGGTTCACGATTGGATATGTAAAATATGTGTAAAGGTTGTCTTGTATGTGTTCTCGTTTTTTATATAAAGGCACTCTTTTATAATCAAAAAAATAAAATAAAACCCTAACCTACCTCATACTCCTTTTTTCCAACCCTAGCCTCTAGTCTCCCGCCGCCCAAGATGCACATGCCTCTCGTGGCTCGATGCACAACCACATGCCTATGTCGTCCCGCCGCATGGCCACCGTCCACCACCGTCTAGCCGCATGCTTTCCCATCGCAATCGTCCAGCCAAGATGAAGATTTCTCCATCGGCATCAACCTTCCAGATCATGTCGCCAACTTCCTCCTTCGTCGCCACGTGGCCCAGGCTGGCCATGATCGACCCAAGCTCTGGCGTCGAGATCTTCCTGTCATCGTTCACATCACACTATCGTCCAACTGCACAAGGTTGGAAACGATTGAAGATAGTGTGTAGTGAATTCTAGGACGGTGAGTAGTAAGCGCAATGACTAATTTGTATTGCATGCAATAAATATGAAAAGTGGAGTGATATGACAAGAAATACAGTGATTATGATAAGACGTGAAATAAAGTAGATCAATATAATAACTACAAGCTAGCAATATCAAGCCCCCAAACCTATAGTTCGGCTCCAATCAGTAACACATTGTCGACTATTATTTGAATCTCTATAGTCAGAACTTGAGTTGCTACATTGCAATAAGGCGATGTGACATCACGAAGCTAAGTTGTGGAGCCTTGCTCCTCCTTAAAGCTTCTACCATTCATCAAGTTGAGCTTTTGATAGCTAACATGGCATTGATTTGGCGTCATGATCATTTTATGGTTAGTTATCTTAAAACCAATTCCATACCCCTTCTCAACGGTATCAATGATTCCAAATTAGGAGTACAATTGAGCTGATTGAGTTCGAACTTGGGTGTGATCAAGCTCAAATAATGCATTGACTCGAGTTCAAGTTTGAAGCGGTTTAATATTTTCGGATTGAGCTCAGATCGTGTATAGCCGTAGCTCGACTCAATATTTTTATGTGATCCAAGTTCGAACAAGATTCTCAAACCTAACTTCGAATTCGATCCTACGACAACAATTTCTACTTCAAAAATATTAGTACTACCTTCGTCCCCCTTATATTGGGACGGAATAGAGTGGTGTGGTTTTTAAGAAAATTAGAATTATTTGGTTGATAATGAGTTTATAAAGTGAGAATAAAGTAACAATGGATTAGAGCCATACAAATGTTACCAAATATGATATGAGACAATAATAGAGGAACATTGATAAGTTCGTATTTCAACACGCTCTTAATGCGTGTTGGAGTCGGATTTTGATGATTTCTCTCCCTTTGAGGCGTCATAAGTATCATATTTAGCTCAAGTCATGTTAGTTGGGTGTTGGAACGAGTTTTGGCATTTTTAGATATGAAATCAGGTCTTTTAGGGCCCGGTATCGGCGCATCAAGGATTGATCGGGATGAGTTAAGGAATGTTCGAGAATGAATTCAGAGTTTTGAAGGCCACCAGGAGATTCAGGATTAAGATTTGATGAAGAAAGAGCTGTTCGATTGATCGCGGAGCCAAACGAGGACTTGAACGGGAGAAAACGAAGAATTCGGAACAAAAAGGGCCACGCACGACCATGCGTGCAAGGACGCACGCGTGCGTCCAATGAAGAAAACGAAGACCACCTTACTGCCAGCCACGCACGCGTGCGTCCCCCTTTTTTATGCGGCCGTCTGTCGGACGCACGGACGCCACGCACGCGTGCGTGGTGCCGTGCGTACCCAAAATCTGTCCTAATTCACCCCAAATTGCCTTGTTTCCTATATATACCACCCCCATAACCCTAATTAGTGGGGTGGAAGTTTAGAGAGAGATTAAGGACGAGATTAGAGAGCTTTTTCAGCCAGGTTTATCAATTCCTTAACATTCTTTGTAAATTCCTACTTTTTTATTAATGACAATTAATTCTATCTATCCCAATTCTATTGATTCTTCAATTATGAATAGGGAGTAGTTTTAATTAGGGATTTGGGGTTGATGAAGGGGTTAATCATGATGTATGGCTAGATTCTTGATGGTTTAATTGCATGAATGCCGTTTAATTTGTGTTTGAATAATTTAATTGATATCTTTTGTAACCTAGAATGGCCACTAGATTTACAATTGCTTATAGAATAAATTAAGAGAGATCTAATTTGTTCTAGGACACATTCACACACTTAATCGTTCGCTAAGAGATTAGTAGCGATTAAGGGGCCGTAAGCTCGTTCGTCTTGGCAATAATTTAGGATTCTGTCGCATGAGAGATCAGTCTGGCCCCCGAAATTATTGTACTCTACGCCGCGAGAGCGGTAAGAATTTAGTATTGATTAGCTAGGCTCAATTAAATTAAATTCATGTAATTAGGCCTGATCTGCCAAAAATCTGATTACCCCGGAATCAATCCCTGTTCCCTTCGTTGTTAATTAAGAAGAACCCAATTATTTACTTTTAATCGTTTATTTGCAATTTTAGTTTTCTCAAGCAACAAATTCTCGCACGACCGCATTTGTTTTATTTATTTCTTTTTATCGCTGATTTTAGTTAATCTTTAATTCCCTTTTACCGTCCCTGTGGAGACGATACTCGTACTTTCACCGCTATATTACAATCTTTTTAAGTGCGAGAAAACTCACATCAGTTTTTGGCGCCGCTGCCGGGGACGGTGTCGGATTTTTGGGTTAATTAATATCAGCGACTCGTTTTTTTAGTTTTTCGTAGGAATTTTGTCAGTTAACCTTGCAGGTCAGCTCTGTTTATGCATACACGTTCTAAGAGGGGAGAACCGCTAATCCCTCTTAACCTTGAGATCGAAA